AACCCCACTACAACAATACCAGAGACGTACTTGCAGAAGCTGGGCTTAGGGGGCTAGGTCATCTTCCCTAATATTTTAAAAAAGTATTATTATTAACTATGGTGATCTACATAAAACTCCACTACGACAATACCAATACTTTCTGGAAAAGGCTACACTCAACCATACGTTTAAATAAGTAGTAACTAAAAAAAATCGTGGGTTCCAATTCAGATAAAACGTACTTTCTTATGGTTAGGGGGGGCTTATCCCCACTCCACTATTTTTAATTAAATATTTTTTAAATAAGTATTTATTTAATTACGACACTCCATTGTTTTCAAATAAATAAAATCGCTTTATCTAAGTTAAAGTTAAATTCTTGTATCTTCTTTGCAAATACTTATTTTAATATAAAAAGTAGTAAATTAATTAATTTTAGATAGTTATTTCTTTTTAAAGAACAAAAACTATATAGTATTTTTTCTTGAAGAACTTTATTCATTCAAAATTTACAACAAATAACATTTAACACAACAGTATTACATTTTATTTAAATAAATTAAAACTAAACAAATAGCCCCTTTTTACAAAAAAAAGCAACATGATATTTTTTCAGCGAGATTGGCGGGTATTGAAGAGGATTTTACTCAGCAAAAGTTAATAGGATTTTTACAATTTCTATGAGACTATCTCAGAAGATCTCACTTGTAGTCCCGCCTTGCAACTTTCATCTCAGGCAGAATAACGTTTGTTCTTTGATAAATTTAATTTTGATCTATTTGCATGAGAATTACTCTTGAATACTAATCGTTGGTGAGGCATCTTGCTTCGATGCAAGACGACAAACTAAAAGTATTAAAAAGTGAGGGTTTTTAGCACATAAAGCGACTATGGATCTTAGCGATGTCGAAGTGTATAGAGTAAATAATATATAACCATTTTACTTTAGCACAGGGTTTAAATTGTGGAAAACCTAGGGAAAGTAGAACTCATTACCAATAAATTGTGAAAATTGCTCGCTAACCACTTCACATTGACAAGTTATAGAAAATGAGTGTAGATTTATATATATTTTAATGCAATACAAAATTGAATTAAATTTATTTCTTCACGTAGCTCAGCTAATTTTTATCCCAGTCGACATTTTAATTTAATATTGTCAAGAAATATCGAAATTCAACGAAAGACCTTTTCCATTTAGGAAGAGAACATAAAGCAATTTATAAATTTAGTTCGAAGAATAAAGAAATATGCAATACCCGACGGTAATTAATATCAACCAAATCAAATATCTATACTTAGGGTGTACTGGGGATTTTACTTGGATAAGGACTGTTAAAATCGTTCTCTACAGTAACTTTTCGTTTAATATCAAGGATGTTTGAAAGGGAACATCGCAGATATAGGCGCGATAGATATTTTGGTTTTTAGCCTTTTTATTTTTTATAGCATATTAATCTTTTCCAGATCTTTAATGTCCTTTTTGATCGATTTGATCAACAATAGACATAGGTTTGGATTGCACGAGAGTAAAAAGTTAGAACAGTAAAGATTAAGTGGCTTCCTTTTTATTGAGGTGGGTTTATCCCGAAGCACGGGACACAGCCATTGTACTTTGTATGCGAAATGCCAGGGCGATAGGAATTTGACTTTAGAAATGGGTGTGTGCGTCTGTGCGCACGCGTGTGAAAGAAAGAGACAGGAAAAGAAAAAAAAAAAAAAGTGATATATATATATATATATATATATATATATATATATATATATATATATATATAAAGAGAGAGTGAGTGAGTGAGAGAGAGAGAGAGAGAGAGAGAGAGAGAGATACTGTTTATTTTCCGGAATCTACCTTATATATCTATAATATTGTTGTCACATATGGTCCATTGCCCCTGTAATTTAACTTAAGCTCCTTGATAAAATCCAAAGAAGAATCAGCAATATTATTGGTCCTGATCTGCTGACTCGGCCTCAGTCACTCTCTCACCGCCAAAGGTTGCCTCTCTGCGTCTTTTCTATAAATACTTTCATCGAAATTGTTCGGATGAGCTCCTCGCTATGCTATCTATTTTTTAATTTAAGCGTAGTACTAGACAGGCGTCAAGATCTCATTATGTTACAGTTGGGTTGGATAAATGTAGCCGTAAGTTCTATGCTAACAGTTTCTTTTCTCGCTCGTGGAACTCTCTTTCGGCTCCTTGACTTCCAGCCAACTTTAATCTATAAAAATTTAAATACAATGTCAATCGCTATCTATATTCCTCCTTATTACTCTTTTCTCTTTCTATTCATTATTAATGTTTATATTCTTAATTCTTCCACGCCCTGTAGCCCCTTGTGTCTTAGTAGCTTTACTGCCTTGGCATGGGTGATACCAATAAAAAAAAGATAGATAAAAACCACAATTTTGGTTGTCTTTTGTAAGACTGGCGGTATTATTTGATGGATAAAGCTTTTCTTTTAGAAAGCATGGGAAAGAAAAGAAAATGGCAGACAGTTTCATTATAAAGAAAGATGAAGCCGAGATAATATTTTGGATTACATTAGTCTCGAAGTTCTTTGCTTTCCCGAATTTGATATCTAAAATAAATCTTATAATGCAATAAAAGCAAATTCATTCTTATTCTGCATTGAATTTGACAAATTGTGCATAATTGGAAATAAAAAAAAATACCAAGTATGAAATGACAAAACTTTGGATTGAATCGGTCAAAATATTAAATTAATTCCATATCTTTGTGAGTACTTTCTCTCTTTAAACCCAGTAATATTTCCGTATATATATATATATATATATATATATATATACTTGCAATTTACTTATATACTTAGATGTGGTACAAGGCCTCAAGTATGGAGCATTCAGTCAGGATCGAACTCACTAAGTTGTTTCTGTTTATATTTCTGAGATGAGGTATTGTAACTATTTACACTATTTACATTGTTCAGACAGTTAACCTCATCTTGTCCCAGTGGATAAAAGCATTCGTTGAAATAACCCAGTGACTTGATCCAAAGGGTTGTGAGTTCAATACCTGGCCACAGTAGAGGCGAACAAAAAACTTGGAAAGTTGAGATACTAAAGGGAAATAACATGTTCGAATATAGAAAGACTAGCAGCACCCAAAACGATATTTGCGAAAAGAATGGAACAGTTGGTGGTTCAAGAAAGAACTGAGACAGAACAAGGCATTTAACTTAGCAAGAATAATAAGGAGAATACGAGATATTTGAAGAGAGTTGCCGTCTCTTAAATACTCCCAGTCATAGCCATAAGAAACTTCATTAAAATTCCATAGCAACAACAATGATATAGAGAAAATGGCTAATTATGACAGTTCTAAAAATTACACTACAAGGGCAAAAACACGATAACAATAGTAAAAAATAAAACCACAAGGGTAATTATGACAGTCTCTTATGTCCGAAATGAGAAAGACTTCGCGAAAGGAATGGAACAGTTAGCAGTTCGAGAATGAATTGAGGCAAAACAATGGATTCTAACTTAGCAAGAATAATAACGAAAACACAAGATATTTGAAGAGATTTCCGGTGGAAAACGAAAAACTGCATGGAAAAAGGCAATAATTCTACTACTACTACTAAAGATTATTGGAAATATGCTAATGATTTCATTTTGGCATTATGTTAAGCACGGCTATCAAGAATCGCAACTGAAACAAATTGCCAATGAAATAGCTAAAAATGAAGATTACCATAATTTTGCACCAGATCAAAACACCGAAAAACGCGATAAAAATACCGATAGAATCCGTGAATTTTTCTGGAATTTCGAAAAGACTACATAATAATATGTGTTGCGCGACTGAAAAAATAAATAAAACATTCAATGGCTACAGGTATGATGTCAGACATAACAATGTGACATCAACAGAGCTTACGGAACATTTTATTACAAACGATTGCAATTTCGACAAGCAATTTAAGGTTCACATTTTTTAAAAAATATTCAGAATCTGCCGGCTGTTTGACCCTTAAAATGCATGAAGATAGTTACGTATGCAAATTACTAACTTCCCGCTCCAGAGGAATGATAAGACAGTTCCATAAAATTTATACTAAGCTTTTTGATTAATCCCTTTATTAACTAATCATAGGGAAAATTCCAAGATGAGCAAGATCACTATCAAATTAGGCACGTTTTAGTTGTATGATTCCACGGTTTTTTCTTTAACAGATCAGCAACGTTTATACAAAGACTTATAATTTTTTGTATATTTTTATACTTGAAATTTAAAAAATAAGTATAACTTGAAGATGACAGATATACTGTTGAAATATTGCTTAACATTGTTAAATATTATGTTTTTCTTCTCTTTTTCTTTTCTTAAATCGTGCTCGTCTCTTAAGGTTTGAAAAATATTGGGAGAGTTACGTCAATCATTTTGTTTTATAATAATAATAATAATAATGAATACAATGATGTTTTACAGGATCTTATTATGAAATCTGGTCTTCGTATGTTAAGCTTTATTGGAAATAATAAAGAAATGATTTCGTAATATATTACTGATAACTGTCCAAGACGAGAAGGCAAATTAAGTGTTGGTATTTTCCTGATACGGTACAGGCAGAAAATTAAACTTCACAAGTCCTTGATATTAGTTGCTTGTGAAGGTTAACTAACAATTCACATGTTAAATCCTTGTGATGGCCCAAAGCATGTTGACAAGGAGTTTCCATCAAAAGCCTGCGAATCGTCTTTCTTTCTGCCATTGGCTAAAAGCTTCAAGAACAATTCGTTAGTAATAATTCAATCAACAATAAGAACAGAATTTACTGGAAGATTCGTGTCTGAACACTCGTGTTTGAATTCAATTCAAAAGTTCAAGATAGTTGCACTTAAATTGTATGCATAAATACGTGCTTGTGCCAAGGACGAAATGTAATCCCGAAGAATATATTTGTATAAAATTTATATTTGATTAGCCAAGAAGAAAGTGTATATTTTACAAGTATATAAGATGTCGCTTCGCAGCGTTCTCGGGTTTTATAGTCATATCACATCGAAATACCGGTTTTCGTGTGATCACCGAAGTTAAGCAACGTCGAACCTGGTTAGTAACTAGATGGGTGGTCGCTTGGGAGTAATAGGTGCCGTAAGCTTGGATATGAGGTAATGTAACGGATAACTGCTTAGAATTGGAAATCGGCGAGACAAGTTCCAGTTTTAGTCGAGCTTGTTACATTGTCTTATGAGCAAATATTCTTGGAAAAGACATGAACCCAGCTCTTCTTCCCCAGTTATGGGTTAATTATTAGGACTTGTATCAGTAAATCATTATTATCTCTCAAAAATTCTTAGAGTTTAAAAATATTTTCTGGTTTTAAATAATATGTGAAAGTTGATAAGTCGTCCCCCCCCCAAAAAAAAAAGCAAAAAAAAAAAAACAAAACAAAAAAGCAAAAAACAAAAACAAAACAAATCCATTGAACCGTCAGTGTCTTAAAATGAAGATAATTTCGAGCAAAAATATATTTTTCTGAAGTCATTATTTTAGTAACAAACAATACAATTTAGTTACTGCTCTTAATATTTATTTTATTCTTAAAATCTTGTGTGTGCGTATGTGCCTAAATATAGATAGGAAGATAGGGCGGTAGGTGCGTCGCTGATATCCGAAGGATGCATTCCAAAAACTGGGCAGAGTACTACGAGACAGGAGGGGGGGTTTTTTGGGACAAAGAAAAGAATACTGAGTTGCTACGTGACATCTGTCCTCCTATACGGCAGCGAATGTTGGACGGTCTCCTCAAAGATGAAGAAGAGACTTGAGGCAGCGGAGATGTGGTTCTAGAGAAGGATGCTAAGGATATAATGGAGCGAGCGTGTGAACAACGACGAGGTCCTGGAAAGGATGCAAACAACGAGGAAGCTTATAGTTAATATAAGGAAGAGGCAGATGAAATTTCTGGGACACGTACTGAGAAAGGAGGGCCTGGAGAATCCGACACTCACAGGTTGAATAGAGGGAAAACGAGACAAGGGAAAGCAACGCATAACATACCTGGAGGGCTTAAGCAAGTGGATGGAAGAACGTTGTCTGGGGGAGTTGCCAGAGGCACTAAATTTATTGAGAGCCACAAGGGATAGGGGCAAGTGGAGAGCCATGAGCCTGCGTCTTGAAATGGCACGGTACATAAAACGAAAGAAAGATGGCCGGTCACTGGTTTCCAAATATGCTTATCTGCTAGGGAAGCTGTCTAATCCCTATTATAGACGCTTGATTTGGCACATTTATCCTTGTTCAACATCCACAGAGCCAACATGTGGTTTATACTTCAACTATGCTGAGCCGACCTTAGTTACAGTTTCTTGAAGAGAACGCATAATGTGGCGCAATCACTAGTTTAAACAGGGCCATTACATTTGAATCCTTGGTCACAATGACTTGTGACTTTGTGCTAGCACAGTTATCAATGGCTTTCGCACAGTTCTGTCTAACCAATTTCACTCATTGAGCTTGGGTTAACCCCTCGTTAAGGTTTCTTAGGGATGCACGCAGCTTCCCCACCTCTTTGACAAATCAATAATAGTGAGATTGGAACCCTGGTCTCATGGTCGGAATGATAACCACTCAGCCTTAGGCAAATAAACTGGTATTATGTGGATGTCATGCATATGCACCAGAGTCTTTATAAACTCAACCATAGTTTATTCACTTTTGATTTACTGCTGATTAATTCTAAGAATGTTTTCAGGGGCCGTTTTCATCGTTTATCTTAAAATTCGGATTGAAAACAGTAAACATTCATCCTTACATAAAGGTTATTATTAATACGCATATAAGTTCTTTATTAAAATTCAATTTTAAATTGGTAACTACGCAGAAATACATGAAAGCAGGTATATGTAAAACATGATAAAATTAATATTTTTAAATATTTCATTAAATATAGCATTTGAACGATTTGGTGATTAATCTTTACCTTTGGAAAGCTGTTAGAAAATATGAGAAGAGATGATATAAGTTGAACTATGGACACTTTTTTCGAACTCCGTAAGATGCTACAAATCCCAAATATTAACCTGAGAACTCGAGTCAGGTCTAGTCTTTCATTTAGATATTACGCATGGCGTCAAACCAGCTCAAAAATGTCGAAACTATCATCTATAAGCTACCGATTATAAATGGCTTCAAACAAATAAATCCTATAAACCTTACACTGCATAAACACTTTCATTGTTTTTCAGTTGGTCCTTGTATCTTCAAAGAGGGCGTCCCCGTGGTCTTTTCTCTCTAGTGAGCTTAGTGAATAAGACTTGACGTAGAAACTTTGATTCTTCCATTCTTGCTACATGTCCTGACCATCAAAGACTAATTTAATGACTGTTTAATGTTCAGCGATTCGATGCTTTGACTGTTGGCTCTTTCCGGGGTTTCAGCGTTGGTCACATATTAGTTCCATTTGATTTTCAAGATTGGACGAAGCTTTGGTTGGTGAAAGCGTTCTAATTTTTGGATATCGCGACTTGAGCTTAAATCGCATGAAACACAAGCAAAAGACCGTATCATGTGGTGATGTTCCATCACCACCGGGACCGAAAACCTTCGAAGCCACCAGAAGAGAAAAAGAAGATATCATATGAAAAGAAAGAAAGGCTCGACAAAATAGACCTCCTCTTCAACAATGTTATTGGCTCTTCCATGCCAGAATTGGTCTACCTAGTCATCAACGCCATAATCATAAAGGAAGCGATCAGAAAAGAAGAAATTAAATTCTTGCATACGAGATAAAGCCGACGATAAAATCACAAAAAAAACAAGACAAAAAACACATCATTTGAAGACATCCAACAGCAGTAACAAAAAATTGGTGGCAAATGCATCTAGAAGAGAAAGTAATATAATGAAGTTGTTAATTTTCCACACCATTTTTTATCAATGTTAGAAATAGTATTAACAATGGACTTGAGACGTCTAATTTCCTGAAAAACTGTTTTAAGAAAAAAGATTTTGGAAAATTCAATCGACGTTCACGCTAACTGTTCAGTCAATGACTGTCGAATGTTTCCTGTAAAGGAAAAGGTTAATTCCACCATTACCAGAATCCTTGGAATTACCAGAACCATTACCAGAAACCTTGCCTGTTGATTTAACGAAACATGCCATATAAGCTGGCACAGAGCTAAAGTAGGAGTGTGCTTCTTTTTAATGAAAAAACAAAAAAAAAAAAAACTGCCTTGAGAATCAGCTTTTAAATATCCTGCTTTAATTGACTTCGAACATTGGAGTTTTTGTATCAGTAGAAAATACGCAAATAATAGAAAAGACACACGAAAAGACACAGGAAACACCCGTATATTCATATCTGCATGTATTATGCATTCACACATATATTAGTCTACTAATATTACACCAAATCGAATACATAACCTTTTGCAGAAAAATCACATGACGTCTAGAGTAGTCATACCGGAAAATTATTCCAAATTCTAAAAATATGCGTACTGGTTCAAATAAACGTTCAGCTGGCAATTTTTGATTCCTGGGACAAAATAATCGTGCTGTGGAAAGAATTACATGAAAAGTTGTAAGGCCATCGTACCGTGTGGAAAATGGAAGGAGATAATTAAAGCGTTCCAACATTTGTATTTAGTAAACAAGAATACGACGAGGTAAATGTTCTAGACCAAATCTTCTTGTGTTATTCGATTGGAGTGCAATTGTGTGCATAGGAAACTAAATCAATGTTCTCTTAGTGAATGCGATCATTGTACGGCGTCCATGTTTTCACTCATACATGACCGCCAAAGAGGAAAATAAATAACCGTTTGTAACGATTAACTGTGTAAATATTAAAGTTAACTGCAAGAGAACGGATTGGTTTCATGTAAATCTTGACAGATATTAAAAGATATGGCGTAAAGGATAAATATTTATTTCCTAATGCTTAACTGCGTGATTAGGAGATGGTTTTATAATGAAAGAACGAATTAAGTTTGGTTCAGAGAAGCAGGAAAATTTAAAATGATGTCCAGACTGGATATTATTGATCTATGATATTCTTCTGGCGTTATTTTAATATTAAATCTGTGTAATTCTTTTGACAGTGTTAGAGAGGAAGAAACAATAGAATCAAGGAGCTAAAAGGTAGAGAACAAAAGGAAAATTAATTGTAATAACATTTTTATCTTATCTTATACATAAACAAGTGCATATTAAGGACATGAAAGCGTGACACTTGCGAGAAGCAAAGACCTAAATGATAGGAAAATGACAATTATCTGTCTACATTTCTGAGATGAGGCATTGTAAGTATTTACTTTATTCGGACTGCTGTCCTTGTCTTTATTGTCATATTCGCGATATTTCGGCCATTGTACCCTCCACCCTTCTTCAGCAGATATACGTTGTAATTTCGAACCGAACGCTTTACTTCGTCCACCGGGGTAGATTGTTCTAGTTCCACGTGCCATGCCATTTCTGGATGTCTCAGTAAAGGCGAAATGCCAGTATCCTAGCGAAATAAGTATTAACCATATCAAAGTAGGTGGTCACTCTGAATTTCTTTAAAAATCACCTGAAAATGAAATATCGTTGTAATTTTCGAAGTAAAAGTATAACATTTCAGTAATTACAATGTATTTGCTTTTAAATTGCATCCCAAATCACTTAACTATAAAAATTATCATATAACATCACCATATTTTGTTTTTGTTAATAAAACCATCACCTGACTTAAGTACTGCTTTATAAATTCTTGCCATCCGTTGCAACAGTTTTTGTAAAAAGGTATGTGCCAGCCTTTCCCAAGCATTCTTCAAGCAGTGAAAACCTCACGCTCACTCTTTGGCTATTCTTTTCGAACTATCCTATCTAATTCACACAATAATAATTCAATGGGAAAGAGATCAGGACATTGAAGTAGCGAAGACATAATTTCTAAAAATAAATTTCCTTTTTTTTTTGATTCGAGGTAATTTTAACATAAGTTAGAAGAGTGTTTTGGATCGTTTCCTTGTTGAAACAGAATTTCTTACCCAATTATGTGTAAACAAAATATTATAGCATGTCTTCACGAAATCGAATGATATTATTCTTTTTTCATGATTAAATTGACTTAAATCAAATCTCCAGCTCCTTTAGTAATCTTAAAAAA